TTTTTTGTAGAGACAGGGTCTCACTAGATTGCCAGGCTGGTCTTGAACTCCTGTCCTCAGGTAATCCTCCTGCCTCAGCCTCCCAAAGCACCCAGATTACAGTCGACTCCTTGGATTCTACAGAACGAGACCAAAACTGTGAACATGTGCTATTTTTCAAGGAAAGGGAAGAATAACACCACAGATCCAGGGGGCAAGGCTATGTCCTCCTCCTTCTTAGGTTTCAAAGGGTGTGATCACCTCTCAGGCTTCAGTGTGCCAGGATGACCCCATCCAGTGCTTCAAGGGGTAGGGCTGCCCTCACAGACAGCCATGCGGGCAAGCCTACAGAGAAAGCAGAGCACAAGGGGTAGGGATGACCAGCAGAGGCAGAAGGGGTGACACTAGCATCCCAGTGGGCCCGGGGATTATTCTCAAGCTTTAAAGTCTAATGGAACATGTGTTACTAGGTTTTGGACTTGCCTGGGACCTATCACTCCTTTCTTCCTTCTTATTTCTCCCTTTTGGAGTGGGAATGCTTATTCTATGCCTATCCCACTGTTGTATTTTGGATGCACATGATTTATCTGGTTTCACAGGTTCACAGCTGGAAAGGAATTTTGACTCAGGATGAGTTGTAACTGAGTCTCACCCATATCTGATTTAGATGACATTTAAATACGACTTTAGACTTTAGACTTTACAGAGCTTATGTTAGAATGAGTTAAGACACTTGGGACTGTCGGGATGGAATAAATGTATTTTGCACGTGATAAGTACATAAGTTTTGGGGGGCTATCGGTGGAATGGTATGGACTAAATTATGTCCCCCAACCTCAAATTCATATGTTGAAGCCCTAACGTCCCCCACCATGTGACTGCATTGGAGACACAGCCTTTAAGGAGGTGATTAAAGTTAAATTAGGTCATAAAAGTAGAGCCTTTTTATTTCTCTCTCTTTTTTTTTTACCCAGCAACAGACCGATTTCTTGGGTAAGAAAAGTAGAGCCTTGATCAAATAGAACTGATGCCCTTGTAAGAAGAGAGAGATAGAGACACTAGTCTCTTTCCAACATGTGAGGACATAGTAAGAAGGTGACTATCTGCAAGCCACAAAGAGAGCTCTCACCAGAAACTAAATCCTGCTGGAAACTTGGTCTTGGACTGTCTAGCCCTCAGAACTGTGAGAAAATAAATTTCTGTTATTTAAGCCACCCAGTCTACTGTATTTTGTTATGGAAGCCCAAGCAGATTAAGACAATTACCCTGTTACAAACCACGCAAGATATAACAAGGAAAAAAAACCTACAAACCCATATTTTGCTTGAACATAGATACTAAAATCTTTAATAAAATGTTTGCAAATCAAATGCAGTATTACGTAAAAAGGATAGTATAATCATATAATCATGACCAAAGGTATTCTAGGCCAAGAATGCAATGTTAGCTTAACATTCAAAAACCAGTCTTTGTATTTTACCAGTTAACACACCAAAGGTAAAAAAAACATCTCAAATAGATGTAGTAGAAGTATGTGAAAAAAGTCAATATCCATTCAATAATAAAAACTATTGGCCAAATAGCATTAGAATAAAGCTTCCTCTACTTAATAAAGGACATCTATAAAAAAATCTACCCCTAACATCACACTGAATGGTGAAAGACTGAATTTTTTCCCCTCTACATGTGGGAACAAGACATGAATGTCTTCTCTCACCACTTCTATTTAACAGTATAAAATGGCATATAGTTTGGAAAGGAAAAAGTAAAACTGTCTTTTTTGCAGATATAATTATATATATGTAAAACCCTAAAGAATAACATTAGGGCTATTATGATTCATAAGTGAATTTAGCAAGGTCACAAGATACAAGATCAATATACAAAAATAAATTGTATTTCTATATGCCAGTAACAAACACTTGGAAAATACAATTAAAAACAAATCACTTATAAAGCA